TAGGAGAGAGGAGGGGGTCTCCACCCTCAAGAGAAAGTCTATTTAAGCCAGTGGGAGACCCCTCCATTTTGTCTTCAGCTGGCTAAAGAGATAGCCTCTCCACCCCCAAGGATACCAGAAAGAAACTGGAACAAAGGACAGTAACTACAGGGGATGTGAGTGATTGCTGGACCCAGACTAGCAGGAGACTAGTCTGTAAAAGGAAGTTTACTGGAACTGGTGAGGTTTTATTTGTATTCAGTTTCTTAGACATAGACTTGCATGTTCTATTTTATTTTACTTGGTAATTCACTTTTGTTCTGTCTGTCACTACTTGGAAGCACTTAAATCCTACTTTCTGTATTTAATAAAATCACTTTTTACTTATTAATTAACTCAGAGTATGTATTAATAGCTGGGGCGGCAAACAGCTGTGCATATCTCTCTATCAGTGTTATAGAGGACGAACAGTTTATGATTTTACCTTGTATAAGCTTTATACAGGATAACATGGATTTATTTGGGGTTTGGACCCAATTGGGAGTTGGACATCTGAGTGTTAAAGACAGGAACACTTCTGTAAGTTGCTTTCAGTTAAGCCTACAGCTGTTAGGGGACGTGGTTCAGACCCTGGGTCTGGCTCAAACCGGGCAGGGCACTGAAGTCCTAAGCTGCCAGGGCAGGAAAGCAGGGGCAGAAGTAGTCTTGGCACATCAGTTGGCAGCCCCAAGGGGGTTTCTGTGATTCAACCCATCACAGGCACTATGTTTGCCCTTCTCTAGGTTTCTGGGACCTCTCCCATCCTCCAAGAATTTTCAAAGATAATTGCTAATGGCTCCCAGATTGCTTCAGTTAGTTCCTTAAGAACGCTAAGATGAATTTCATCAGGCCCTACTGACTTGAACACATCTAACTTACCTAAAAATTCTTTAACCTGCTCTTTCCCTATTGTGGCTTGCATTCCTTCCCCCAGTTGTCAATATTGTTTTGAGTATCTGGTTATCATTAACGTTAATAATCTTTCTCTTGCTCCTAATGTATTTAAAGAACCTCCTCTTGCCTTTTATATTGCTTGCCAGGTATATGTAATATACCATATTACAGGAAACAGCACTGTGACTGTAAGGGAGCTGAAAATGGGCATGCCACAGGCATGCAGCCCTGAGACTGGATGAGAAGGGTTGTGAGAATGGGCATGCTTGGTTCATACCACAGACACATCACCAAGACCAAGAGAGCTGAGAATGGGCTGGCTTTGTGAATGCCACAAGCACTGAGATCAGGGTGGGGAATGCAGAATAGACACCATCAGTAGACCACAGCCTCGCACCCAAGAGCAGGGTGGGAAATTGAGAACAAGCAGTCTCAGTGCATGCCATAGACACAGAAGCCTGAACCTGGGGGTTGGGGGTGTGAGACACATATTGTGGAGCATCCCTTCCCCCATGGTCTTGCTGCCTGGGGAGGGGATGGCGGAGGGGGAGAAGAGCTCTAAACTCCTTCACCACACAGTGCTCTGGGTGCTGCTGCCTTCAGCCATCTCTTTTCCCCCATGCCACTGAAAGCTGAAGTAGAGTCATCACAACCAGTGACAGCATGAATGTTTGGCAGCATCTGAGACACGTCCACTCCTAGCTCCAGCCACTCCATTCATGGGAATGAGCCTCATCTTTTGTCTGACCCCAGTTTTGAAAAAGAATTAATCTCTGCCAAGAATAGAGCAATATTTTGGGTACATGGACGAAACATCTGAGTCCAAGCACCACATCAGCACCCCACTTGCTCCGAGTGTTTGCTTTGCATGAGCAACATGCAAGAACATGCGTGAAACTGCTTCCTCGAGTTCTGGTATTGCAGTATGGTTGCCAGGCACTGCTTTCACTGCACGTGTGATGTGGTGAAACCCACCAGCAAAGTACATGTCACGACCAGGTGACAATCTCTGTCCACACTTCACAAGCCAGTCACTGAGGAGAAAACGTGCAATGTTAGATTTATTCTTTGAATTTGATATCATCTGCAAGCGTTACTTTGGTAATGGTGTGAACACAGTGGGGGCTCCGAGCATCTTGTATTTGGATATTCCCCCTGCGGGCTCTCTCACCAGATTTGATTGATTCTTCATTTGCATAATTGTCACCCACAATAGCAGTGTATTGACATTGCAGTCTGAGGATAGTGTGCAGCAGCTGATCAGTCAGCTCCCCAGTAGTTTTGCACTTGGCAGTATCATTGCACACCATCAGCAGAAGCATCCCGAGTTCAAGAATAGCTGACGTTCGCTCATCAGATGCTGGTAGCTCAACCATTGACAGATTTTTCTCCAGCCAAGACAGTGTGTTGCTCTTTTGGGCCTTTCTTAGAGATCCACCCAAGTTGAAGAGGGAAAGTGGGACAGGTGCCAGCTCACGTGTCATCAAACCCTGGATATCAACATCTCTGGACTGGGCAAAAAAACTGTCAGCTTGCTGAATATCTGACGATCAATAGTTATCGCTTGTGCTGACTGCTTCTTCTTTTGTTTGATTGTGAGATTATGATTTGAGATTATGCCTTTCTATGGGCTCAAAGAGGTCTCCCTCGCCCCTTTGCAGCCTCCTGGTTACGAACGGCTTCATTTATCGCGTGCCAGTCTCTCTTATCATGCACAAACCTGCACTTTCAGATGGAGCCACAGTAGACATTGAAATGTTCACAAGTGACTGTTGTGTGGGCTTGTTCCAGGTTCAGTGCTAAATGGATTTGTCATTCTTTAGGTCACAAAACATAATACCTTGGACAGCAATTTCATCTGCAGCCATGTGCTTTGTGGTAGCTTCTTTGTGGAGATCGAAGGCTGAATTCCACACCTTTGTTTTGTCACAGCTGTTACAGCTGCCTTAAAATGTACAGTCAGGTAATCCTTGGTCAGAGCCGTATCTTTTGTGCAAAGATGCTGATGATTCCTACAGTCCTTGTTCAGAGATTGCTCAATGGCCATGTCACAGTGTAAGACCCCACTGAAGAGTCTGGCAGTCTGGTACACTGCTTCCTATCAGCTTGGGCACAATCTATATCTGGCTTCTCCTCCAGAGATCTGGCTTCTGCTACATTTACACAACCCATCTGGCATAATTCATATGACCACTCTGTCATAGTGGGATCATCTCTGCAAATGTCTCAAGCTCCATGGACTTGTTATTGCCTCTCTTTGCTGCTATATAATCCATCAGTGATTAGGAGCAATGTAGTTTTTCCAGAATGGAAATGTATCTGAACAGTTTTTTCCTTGGGTATCGGAAGTAACCATGAGCCGGTGCAATGCTTGGGTGCTGTTCATCAAGTCTGCCAGAGCATTCTGTGCTTCCAATCTGTTTTCTCTGTGAGCCTGCTCCACATCTTCAAATGCTTCAATACATGTTCGAGCCTTCTCCAAGATGTGTCATTTCTCATCTTCTGGAAGAATCATCATTGTGCACGGAATCGCCAAGTGCCACCCACTTCAAGTGAGTCATCGCCTCATTCATAAGTTTGTGGATTCTAATGCCATGGATATATGCTTTCCCTCTTAGAGCATGGCTGAAGCACCACAGATGCTGGCTTCCACAAGGATGTCTTCAAACCCACTCTCCTGCATCACACTGCCTGTATCACACATGACATTTGCTACATGATGCATGCCTCCCTTCTCAAGGTGGTCATCGTCAAATCTGTTTTGATTCCTCCATTTAATTAACAGTGCTTTGCAGTAGATTGCTTCATCATACACGACACAGGTCCAGTCTTGGCCCAGAGAGTGGAACATATCCTGAAAACATTTCATCCTGGTGTGCACTGTGTTAACATCAGTTGTCAGTGGAGGAGTCATTGGACAGTAGCCAATATTCATAAAATAGCAGACAGAAAAACTTTTCTACAAATAATGACAAATATTTAGATGTATTACATGGTACAAAAAAGCTTATACTGTTGTGCGACCACAGACTTTTGCTTGAATTGAAGGCAAAAAAGTACAGGAAAATGCATAAAATATATCACATGGGACAAAATATTTCCCAAAATTTCCAAAACAGTACTAGTTTGAGGACATAGTTGCACAATCAGTTGTATTTAAAAGCTTTCTGCCAATTTTGGTCAAAATTAGACTGTTTCTTCAAGTTATGGCCCTTTTTGTGATTTTATGATTTTTTTTGGTTTGGTTGCCCAATAACGTTTAAACATTATGTGATATAGAAAAACTGCACCACTTCCACCATCTATGTCCACACTGGCGATGACCACCAGATACGTGCCTAACGTGTGGGAGCAATGAACTTTTTCCAGCTGAGGGGTTGCCCTAACTCATAAATGAGACCCCTTTTTAAAATGTGTCTGGTAGACTACGGAACTTTTAAAATGAGTTGTTATATTGGAAGGAAAGGGATTAAAATGTTCTCAGGTCCATCCTTATGAGAGGAAGGATGGTCTGGTGGTTAGGATGCAAGACGGGGACTCAGCAGCCCCATGTTCAGCTCCCTGCTCTGCTACAAACTTCATGTGTGGGCAAGTCACTTAGGCCCAGATCCTCAAAGGTATTTAGGTGCCTCACCCTCAGGGAAATCAATGGGAGTGAGGCACCTAAATACCTATGAGGATCTGTGCCTCAGTTCCCACTCTGTACAATGGGAATAATAGCACTGCCCTGCTTCCCAGGGGTGCGGTGAGGGTAAATACATTACAGAGTGCATGGCGCTCAGATACTAGGGTCACAGGGACCAGATAAGGACCTTAGATAGGCTTTCCGTGTTGAAAGAGGAGCATCGTCACACTGTGTCCTTGGAGACCTGGAAGGCCACGTTTTATCAAGGCAAAGTCACTGAAAAATGAGGGCTGAATTTTGCAAGCCCCCTATCTCCCACCCCCACCCCTCCCGGCTGCAGCTAAGGCTAATTAAAATCAACTGCATCTTGCTTTAGATTTTGACTTTCCTTCTGTGCTGGTCATTGGCCAGCTTCTATTTTGTGCTATCCGTTCCATACTGGTAAGAAATTGTTCTATTCCAGATGATTCAGAAGCTGGAGCCAAGAGGCCACGAACCACCATCACAGCCAAACAGTTGGAAACGTTAAAAAATGCCTATAAAAACTCCCCCAAACCCGCCAGGCACGTGCGGGAGCAGCTGTCCTCGGAGACAGGGCTGGACATGAGGGTGGTGCAGGTGAGACCGCTGCGGTTGAAGTATTTTTCCATTCCCTCCTTGTCCCGACCAAGCTGTGCACATCACATTCCCCTGACAGTGCACAACCCCCGCACTGAATTCCAAGGTAGCATGGAAGGAAGCCAGGCCAGAAAGCTGGATAAGCAGTAAGGCCCCCATCCTGTGACTGACAGCCCGTGGCTGGACTGCTGAACATGTGCACTGCCCCAGGGCTCCAGGGGATGCATCTGTCCACCACCTTGATCATAGCACAGGATCCGAACCAATGAGTTAAATCTCCCTGGTTATTAGCAGTAAGCAGTGAATTAGATGTGAGTTTGCAATGCCAGCAAAAAACAGGTACTGCATGTTTGGATGCATATCCCAAGGAGATCTGCCATTGGGCGGGAGGCAACTGACCCACTCTATGGGCCTGAAATGCTGAATACTGGGTCTGAGCCTTGGGGAAGTTTGGATGCAGAACTGGATCTGGGCGTTGTGGCTCGGGCCCATTTCTACATGCTGTATCCAACCTGGAACCCATCAGACTAGGGCAAAGTTCAGCTCTGAATCCACCAGCCTTGGCACCCTAAGCTGCAGGGTAACTGGGCTCCTGGGTCTGAACCATCTTGAACTTCAGGGAGGTTCGGAGCCAGCCCTGAATTTTTCTGTCCAGGCCAATCTTTTTCTCCCTGCGCGTGCTCCTTTCAGTGCCTTCTGGGACTCTGTCTCTCCAGGTCTGGTTTCAAAACAGGCGGGCCAAAGAAAAACGGCTGAAGAAGGATGCTGGGCGGCACCGCTGGGGCCAGTTCTACAAGAGCGTGAAGAGGACCCGCGGGGGCAGCAAACACGAGAAGGAGAGCTCTGCGGAGGACTGTGGGGTTAGTGACAGTGAGCTGAGCTTCCGAGGTGAGCAGGGCAGGAAGGCCGGGTGGAGGGTGGGGGGTGGTGAAGGTGGGAAGAGATGGGTTGCAAAGGTTGGGCCCCAGGGGGTTCCTGCAGAGTGGGATGATTTCCTGCGCTTAGGCACAGCTCAGCATCCCACATTGAGAAGAATGCCTGGATTTCTCTTGCACCAGAAACGGGAATGATCCTTGAAACCAATGTCCCATCTGAAGACATACGAGTTAATCTCATGGCTGGTGGCTCCTTGGGGCTTTCTGCACTAGAGGAAAATGATTAATTACTGGCCTGTATCCTGCATGGCCAGAAACCCCTCTAGCAATGGAGCTAGGAACTGACATGCACTTACTAAGGGGGTGTCCCTTCTGAGCCCCAGCAAAGGGTCTGCAGCTCCCAGGGGAACTTCCCCAAAAAAGAACTGCCGTGCTGGCCTAGAGCAATGGTCCCTCTAGTGAGGGGATGCATCAGGGCAAGGTGGAATGAACTTAGGATGCACCTCACTGTGTAATAGAATATTATGAAGGGAAATATTTTCCTCATCTCTGCTCATGATCAGTCCCTCCCCTGAAGCCTGAGGACTGATAGCCCATGAAAAGTGTATCTGAGCTAACATCCCTGGCAATGCGATTCGTATCTGCATGAATGGCTAGTCCCTGCTGGAAACTCACCTGCCTCAATACGTTAATAAACTCCCCCTCGGATCCACATCAGCAGCCACCTGCAGGCTGGCACAGCTCAGTGGACTTGGACCCTCTTCCATGACAGCTGGATTTCAGCTGTTGTCAAGACTCACTGCAGCAGCCTGACAGCTGATGGAGGGGGGTTCCCCAGAGACTGTATAGGGAGACTTGGAAAAGGATGGTGTAACAGCCCCCACCTTGGCTGGTGCACTGGAAAATGAACCGGGGAACTCTAGAGCTGAAACCATAAGTCTGCAGCTCCAGCTAAGCAGGCAGGCTCTGTGGGCTGGGCACAGGCACTTCCTGTGTCACTGGCCTTTCTTCAGGGAGTTCCCCACCCAGGTCTGAACACTCAAGTAGGAGTTTGCAGTGTAAATACAACGATCACTGTGGACTATTTTTTAGGCCATTGTTATACTGTGATCGGATGGGTCACATATAGTGAAAAGAATCACGAACAGGGTGACCAGATGTCCCGATTTTATAGGGACAGTCCCGATATTTGGGGCTTTTTCTTATATAGGCTCCTATTACCCCCCACCCCCTATCCCGATTTTTTACATTTGCTATCTGGTCACCCTAATCACGAATACTGTATAGGTCTGGCCAGAAACCTATTCCCTGCTGCCCCCTGTATTTCTGATCAGTCAAACCCCAGCATTTTAATGGAACCTAGTTGAAAAAATAACTTTAAAGCAATCATTTTACAATAGTTTAACTTTAAAATGGTCCCTTTGAATCATCGCAGCAAATATACAAGCCACCGGAAATTATTTGGTTATTTATAGTCTAATGAGAGCCAGCTATGGCTCCCAAACTGGTCTGTAGTGCCTGTGTATCAAGCCTGGTCCATAATTAGTTTACGATGCCCTTTATGAGGGCGAATGCATCTGGCGAGAATCAAGAGACCTTCCCAAAAGGAGGCCGTTATGTGCCACCAGCTTTCATATGACTGAAGAATAAAAGATTTACAGTAATCCTGTCTCGTGTTCAGCTGTACAAAAGGCACTATAAGAACAGAGGGAGGTGTGGGGGGTTAGCAAAAGGGTAGAAATAAGCTGTGGTACCATTCAGAATGTATTCTCAATTAGTTGCACTATTTACTCTGGCTAAGTACTAAGCAGAGCAGGGAGAGCACATTGGCAGCTGGTGTAAATTGGCATCGTTCTATTGCAACAGAGCTTCCCCAGCTTGTGTCAAGTGAGAATCTAGCTCGGGATGCCATACAACTGGCCTTCAGTGAGGGACAGTTTCCTTTGAGTATGTGCTCTGTTGGCCCAGCTCATTCCTGGTGTAACCCCACTGACTCCAGTGAAGTTACTCAAGAAATGCGTTTGGCCCTGACTGACCACAGAATGTTTTACACTCATAAATCAATCTTCCTTCTTTCATTCACAGAAGATCAGATCCTCTCTGAGCTTGGCCACACCAATAGAATTTACAGCAATGTTGGGGATGTTGCTAGTGGACAGTTAATGAACGGAAGCTACTCCATGGATGGGACAGGACAATCTTACCAGGACTTGAGGGATGGAAGCCCCTATGGAATTCCTCAGTCTCCATCTTCCATATCGTCCCTTCCTGCCCATACTCCATTGCTCAATGGTCTGGATTACACAATGGACACTAATTTGGGAATTATAGCACATGGAGGGCAGGGGGTGAGCCAGACACTCAGAGCAATGGCTGGGGGACCAACCTCTGATATTTCTACAGGAAGCAGTGTAGGCTATCCAGACTTTCCAACAAGTCCTGCTTCTTGGCTTGATGAAATGGATCATCCTCCTTTTTAAGCATCTCCTGCTTCCCACCCCGTCCCACTCATTCTTTTGGCCTGCAAGTGTGCTCAAACTAGCAAAAGAGACAACAAGCGACCTTCAAGAATCCCAGACATATTGCACCGGAAAATTTCCATTATTTTCAATGGGAATCCACCACTGGCTCCTGGAGGGTTGTGAAATGATAGCGTGGTGGTTTTTTCCTTTTCACTTGGGGAGTGGGAGGGCAGGAGACACCCTTCTGAACACAGCACACTGGCATAAAGTATCTGATTCTAGGTTTTCACGCTCATAGTAAAACACAAACTCATTGATTCTCTCCAGGTCAAAGACTCTTTGCTGTTGAGTGCTTTTGAAGCACAGGTTGGCTGGCTCAGCAGATCTTGGCTATTATGAACTCCAGGTCAGTTGGTGCTCTCTTACTTGGAGTTGAACAAATTATAAATGCCTCCAAAACCCTTGTTCTTATCAGGAATTGACTGTGCATGGGCAGTTGAACTGACCTTCCCCGTAGATATGGAAATGCAGCGTTTCCAAAGCCAGGCCACGCTTACCAAGCACTATACCTTTACCAAGGGCAGGGGTCTGACCCAAAAGGGCAGAGTAAATAATAACAACCCTGGGGGAGAAAAGTTATCAAGATTTTTTCAGTATAAAAATGTGATTTTCCTCCCTTCTCCACTGAATAATAACATTGGCTGTTTGGATAAAAAAGTTCAGGAATGTGGTTGAATGGATATCAGGCCAAGGAGCAGTCCTACTGCAAGCATTGGGTCAAAGCACTAGACAGGTACCATGGGTGAAAGTTACCCATGTGCAGCGGGCCAGCACAAGGGCTATGTGCCACTTAAGCCCTCTCTATAAGGCTAAATGGTGCAAAAGCTTTGTACTGGCCCCTCTGCATAAGGGTGAGATTCTACACTGGACAATACCTTGTGTAAGAACGTGTTAACCCCACAATAACTGCAGTGTTCAAAATCATGTCAGTGATCATGACTAACCACACTCTGGAAATGATCTTTATCAGCTGATATGAATCTAACCCCAACAGTCCTTGTCCACATTGAGTGCTAACATGTTTTACATCATTAATGTTTATATTACAGTAGAGCCCAGAGGTCCCATTGTGCCAGGTACTGTACAGACAGTCCCTGTCCCAGCGAGCTCTCAGTCTAACTAGGCAAGACAGATCATGTGTGGGAGGGGAAACAGAGAGGTGACAGGATGTGCCCCAGGCCACAAGGCTAATTTAATAGTAGAGCCAGGATTAGAATGCAGGTCTCCTGACTCCCAGCCTGGTGCCCAGTCTGGTACCACACCACACTGCTGCACTATCGGAGCTAACATATTATAACACAATACGTTTTCCCAGTGCAGACAATCCCTAAGTGATTTCATTCCTAGGCCCTTGAGTAAGGTCGGCTGGAATTCGTCCGTGGGAGATAATTCAAGACATCCCCTGATGGTCATTTTCCACCCAGCTGGTGCATAAACTGATACTTTCTTGCTTTTAGTAGAAGGCCATGTGCTCCCTCACAGATAAAGCCCCTCGGCCGCCCGCTGACCAGACAGCAAGTCAAATAGTGAGAAAGTGTAATGGAAAGACAATCAATAAAGCCAAATGGTGGTGAGGATGAAGATGGCTCTCAAACCAACCAAGCCACCTTGTGCGTGATTCCTTTGGATGAGCCTGCTGTGAAAAAGAGACAGCAAAGCCATCTTCTGTTTTCAAGGGTTATTTTTAGCTACTGGGTTTCAATGTGACTCCATGCTGCCAAGATGTCTGTGGTAGAGACATAAACACAGTAGAACTGTTTATTTTAGTGCAAGAGAAGACGGGTGCCTAGTCCCATGAGATTATTATCCTGCTTCCTGGGGAATGGGACTGCTCCATTAATTTATAGCCAATAGCTCCACCCCGACTGTTTTGTTCAGAAGCCTTCAGCTCAGCTGAAGGGTGGAACTGGTTCTGCCCACGGCACCACAGGGGTTTTATCCCTCGGGTTCATGTCACCAGGAAGTGACCCCCAAGCTGCGTTTGTCTCAGTGCTGTGGGAGAGAGCACGGATGTTCTACATGCAGCTGGCTCTGTGGGTGTTACAGTGCTCTTTGCTAGAGGATGGAGATGCTGCATGTCAAATAGGAGACGTTGCAAGGGAGAAGCTAACCTGAGAGGGGCTGCACACTTAGCTCCAGGCTCATCTGGAAATCTTCACACACTCTGGTAGGTTCTTGCAAAAACACATGCATCCGCAGAAGCCACAGGGCCCCTCTTCCCCCCAGCCTGCGGCGTTAGAGCAGCTGGAAGGACCCATCCTCTTTCCAATAGGTGAGCTGTGGCTGAGTAGCCCAATCCCGAACACACACGTGCACCACGACAGGGTCAAAGCTGCTCAGTGACGCTTCCTCTCCTGGGATTTCTCCCCACTCGGAGTTTTTATTGTGGATGAAGATGATTTTGTCCCCATTCCTCCTCAAGCATCCTGTCTGGGGCCGGCCGGGTAGGCTGGAATCATTGGAGAGACTGACGTAGGTCAAGAGGAAAGGTCTTTATTGGCACAGCATGGTTTGGTATTAGATTGTAAGCTCTTCAGGGCAGGGGCTGTGTCTTTCTCTCCATCTGTACAGCACCTAGCACCTATGAACGGTTAATAATAATGCTTGGAGGCTCCAGGGGCCAGCTGGATCTTCCCTCACCAGCTTTGCTGGATCTCACAGACCATCTGCCTCACACTGAGCACCCCTTCCAAGTGGCCCCTGTCACCTGAGCTTTGAAGCATGCCCTGCAGTTTCACTCACACACCTGCTGTGCACCTTGCAAATGCAGCGCCTGGTGGCAGGAGAGCCCTGACAGGGATTTCCCAGCCTGACTCGGAGCGCTCCTACTGGCTGATTTGGAAAGTGGATGAACTCTTCTGGTTGCACGGTTCCTGTTTGCTGCCGGGGGTTGCGCCTGTGGTATGTCACCTGTGGCGCTCGCAAAGGGAGGCTTGCGTTGTTGTGCTTGCCCGGCAGCAGCAATGCCAAGTCACCTGGTCCATCATGGGGTCAGCTTTCGGTCCACTCGCAGCATAGCCTCAGGTCTCAAATCAATCCTCTTGGGTGGAGCCAAAAGGTGGCCTAGCCAAACCATGTCTAACGGCCAAGAGGGAGCTGGACTCGCCTTTGGATCAAATATCTTTAGCCAGACACAGTGTTTGTGTTCCCAAGGGCCTTAGAGACAGGAAAATTATGCTAAAAATGGCAGCAAGAGGGGCCCTATCCAGAGCCAGATTCCTTTGTGCTGCCAGAGCAACTGGATCTGCCTGGCTTTGAATTCCCTGGCATAGAGGGGTTTTTAGCTGATGCAGAGCTGGCAGGGGGGGCATTTCAGGTGCATGGCTGGAGCATTCTGCACTCTGCTTATCCCAGCTCGTGTATGGTCCCTTGCGGGACTGTTGCCTGGTGCATAGGGTACAGCAGCCCACCGGCTGGGAAGATCTGCGCTAAGACTCAAAGCCCTGTGACCAGCTCCCTGGGGGCCCTCTCCTGTCCCACATCCCCTGCTGCAGCTATGACGACAGGACACTCACTACAGCAAAGGGCTAGGAGAGAGCCAGAGGGTAGCTAGAAAAGCAGCTGGCGGAAGCTGTATATGTGAGTATGTTACAACACCCCATCCCCTTCTTTCACATATCCCATCTAATACCTTTCTCTGGCTCCTTAGCATTTGGGTTCCTCCTGCTCAGACTCCCTGACATAGCATTAATTTGTGTGCAAGCAGGTCTAAAGGATTCTAAGCACCCAACCCAGTTTCCATTGAAGTCAATAGAAAGATGCTTATTGACTTCAGTGGAGGCTGGCTTGGGCCACACAACTGAATGGGAACCTAACGTATGCATCACCTCTGAACTAGATTCTCTCGCTCTTTCTGGGGCTTCCACATCAGATTTGCTCAGTTGGCATCAAAAGCCAGCATTGCACATTCAACCTACCTCCCACCAGTGCGTGTCACAACAGAGCTGGGCTTTTCCTGCCTCTTCTATAACAATGATCCTGTGGGCTGAAGGGAGTTGGTGATGCCTTAGGAATCCAGCTCACTCTCCTAGTTCAGCCGTTCTAAACAGAAATCAAGCATTCTTCACCATGAACCAGTAAGCAGTCAGGTCCTAATGCCCAAGCATGTTCAGATCTGTTGAGTGAGCTGGTGCCATTTTCACCGTCAATTTTCTGAACATGTTCACATTCGAAACAGTTTCCTCATCTCTCTTAAGGAACGAGGCAGATACAATGTTTATTCATTGCAATTTCTTTCCAGTTAGTTTTTTGGGGGAGAAGGGGTACTGAGACATCCCCAGCTTTCTCGCTGAGTAACTCATTGCTTCCATGTTAAAAGGAGCATTGAACTGAGCTGTTCTGACAATGATCTATTACTGGCGGAACAGGAGTGCTTGGGTTGCATTATTACAGTTTTACCTTTTTAACTTGGCAGGAATGAATCTAAAACACAAAAGCTGGGGCTTCCCCAAACCACCCATTTTCTGTCCTCTCTCTGGAGGCTACACAACCACAATTGACTAACCAGAGCTGGGCTGGGATCACTCACAATGCTGGTGAATAAAAAAAAAAAAAAAAAAAAAAAAAAAAAAAAAAAAAAGCCATGTCACTAGTGAGCAGAAATGGCTCCAGGGAAGAGAGGAGAACCATTTATGCCAAATAGGTTAGATCAAAATCAGAAAAGGAAAGATTTTACTTTAACTGTATTACAAGCAATAAAACGTGCAAATAGAGAACTGTATACAAGTAGTGGACAATGCCAGTGTACAACAGGGAGTTGAGAAGCTTTATGCATGTAGCAGCTCCAGCCCAGAACATAGAAGTATAAGGAAATAATGTGGCTGAGATGTTCAGCTCTGTTTAGTGAATTTAACCACCCTCTCTTAATGGTACATGGTGTCTTCTCCCCCTAAATGGCTTTGAAAAATCTCAGCCTGGCTATGTAGCCTTGTATTGCATACGGCTGTAACATGGCCTGA